CATCAAATTGTACACCTTAAATATGTGTAGTTTACTACATATTAATCAGTTATATTTTAATAAAGCTGTTCAAATGGGATACATACATACAATATATACATGCATGTATGTGCAGATGTACATAACTTAAAAAATAATGAAGTTAGCCAGGCATGATGGCGCCTACTTGTAATCCCAGATACTCAGGAGGCTAAGGTGGGATCACTTAAGCCCAGGAGTTCCAGAGCAGCCTGAGCAACATAGTGAGACTCCATGTCAAATAATAAATGAAAATAAATGAACTTGTTAACTATTAATAAAATACAAGGGAATACAAATATATAAGGTATTAGAACTATGGCCTTTTGAAAATCATCCCATTGCATCTGCCATCTAATGAAGAGATTAGAAGCAATTTTAAGCTTAAAAAAAAGTAGAGCCATAGGCTGTCCTCATACTACAAAGAATTTCAAATAATTTAATCAACTTGCTCATTTTATAGGAGAGAATGTGAAGCCTAGAGAGGTTAAGTTAAATGCTGAAGGTCACATTAAAGTAGAGCCCAGGCTATAATCAAACCTGTATAATTGTAATTTAAGAGGTATTTCAGGATCAGTTACCATTCTATTATCATGCTGATAAATTTTCAATTCAACCATATTTACTGAGCATTGTAGCAATATACGGCAACTCTTACCCTCAAGGAGCTTTCAATGCACATTTTTAAGACTTAGCGTATATTCCAGGCATAGACATTTATTTTTATTTGTTTTTCATAAACTCTGCCTTTGTAACTCCTAAGAAAACTAATGGTGTGCCTGTGATCCAATAAAACTTTGTTTCCAGAAACAGGCAGTGAGCCAAAGTAGGCCTTTGGAGCTGTGGCTTGCTCCCTGCTTTACACAAATCCCACATGCCCCACCCCTGATGAAAACTCTTCAAGAGCTCTCTTCTCTACTACATTTTGAATAAACCCCAAACTCCCCCAGGGCCCATAAGCCCCTGCACCATCTCCCTTAGGATCCCTTGCCTTCTTTCTGTCTGTTCCTAGAGAAAGCCAAGTTCTTTCTCACCTGAGAACAGTTGGACATGCAGTTCCCTGTGCCTGGCATGCTTTTCACTCTCCCATCTTTCTCATCTCCTAGGTTTACCCTAACTCATCATCCCTTCAGAGCAGATTCTCTCCTCTCTCCTCCTGTCCCATGCTCTGTTCGCTTCATCCACTTTGATCTTCGTGGTCTACCAGAATTTGCAATTACGTGCCTTCTCTCATGTTTGCCACTCCCCAACTCTAAGATCAGCTCCAGAAGAGCAGAGACCTTGTCCTCAGTCCCTGGCAGAGTGTCTGACAGATTGAAGGTGTTGTATATTCAACAAATATTTACTAAGGACCTACTATGTGGCAGGTACCATTCTGGGTGCTGGGGATGTATCAGAGAACAAACGGACAAAGATCTTTGCCTTGTAGGGCTTACTATAGTCAGGGCAGACAGAGCCAAAAACAATAAATAATAAATTTTTAAAACATATGGTATTTTAGAAGGAACTGAGTGCTGTGGTATATAGGGAAACTCTCTAACCATGTTGTTCCTCTGCTCACACAGCAACAATCATCAACACAGAAAAAGTCTGTAACCATCTGTGTGGAGTTTTCTCCCCAACACACCAAGCAGTGGACACCAATGCCCTCCAATTCAGTTCAGACACTGTCTACCCGGAGATGGTATCAGATCCCACACCCCACATGGTGAAGGCTCAGTCTCAAGACTGCCCCCCACAGCCCTGGTCCTCCCCAACCAAAACTGTTACAAGTCCGGGTCTCCAGAACTTCTGACTGACAGGCTCTTTGGGTTCGATTAATGTCAAGGCATAAATTTTTTAATAAAACCTACAATGTTAATGGAACAAGAATCAAAGTATGCTCCCAATGGCTTAAACTGCCTTTTTTTTAAAAAGCACTCTCAATTTACACAGAGTTTTTTTGGCTTGGTTATTTTTGTAGTTACTCGTGTAATCAAAAAAATCAATCTCATATAACCGGTTTTTCCAAATAAACATTTAAAGAATGAAAGACTCCAAACTGGCAGTCTGTGGGCTATGTTCTGCCCACAGATACTATTTGGCCCACACAGTGTTTTTAAAAATAGGAAAGCTTGGCATTGTGGCTTATGCCTGTACCCGCAGCACTCTGGAAGGCCAAGGCAGAGAGGCTGCTTGAAACCAGGAGTTCAAGATCAGCCTGGGAAACATAGCAAGACCCCATCCCTATAAGAATTTTTTTTTTTTTTAATTAGCCAGACATGGTAGTACATGCCTGTACACCTAGCTACTTGGGAGGCTGAGGCAGGAGGATCACTTGAGCCAAGAAGTTTGAGGCTGCATCACCGGTAATCCTAGCACTGAGGGAGGCTGAGGCAGGAGGACAGCTTGATATCAGGAGTTTGAAATCAGCCTGGACATCACAGAGATCCTGTCTCTACAAAATATTTAAAAAAATAAAAATTAGCTGTGTATAGTGGCACACGTGTAGTCCTAGCCACTTGGAAAGCAGAGGCAGGAGGACTGTTTGATCCCAGGAGTTCAAAGCTGCACTGATTTACGATCACACCACTACACTCCCATCTGGATGACAGAGAGAGACCCTGCCAAAAAAAAAAGAGTGAGCAGACCTCACATTAAAATCAGGGCATTGAGGTCAGGCGCATTTACTCACACTTGTAATCCCAACACTTTGGGAGGCCAAGATGGGTGGATCACCTGAGGTCAGGAGTTCCAGATCATCCTGGCCAACATGGTGAAACCCCGTCTCTACTAAAAACACAAAAATTAGCCAGGCATGGTGGTGCACGCCTATAATTCCAGCTACGTGGGGAGACTGAGGCAGGAAAATCGCTGGAACCTGGAGGCAGAGGCTGCAGTGGGTATGGATCATGCCACTGCACTATAGCCTGGGCAACAGAGTGAGACTCCATCTCAAAAAAAAAAAAATCTGGACATCAGGCTGGGTATGGTGGCTAATGCCTAGAATCCCTACACTTTGGGAGGCCCAAGGCAGGAGGATTACTTGAGGTCAAGAGTTCAAGACCAATCTGGGAAACACAGGGAGACCCCCATCTCTAGGAAAAATACAACACAAGCCAAGTACGGTGGTGCACCTGTGGTCTCAACTACTTGGAAGGGTAAGGCAGGAAGATCACTTGCACCTAGAAGGTCAAGGCTGCAGTGAGCTGTGATCATGTCATAGCACTCCAGCATGGGTAACAGAATGAGACCAGGGAGGAGGGGAGGGGAAGGGGAAGGAGAAGTGGAGGGGAAGGGGAGGGAAAGGGGGAGGGGAAGAGAGAGGGGAAGGCAGAGGGGAATGGGAGGGAAAGGGGAAGGAATGGGAGGGAAAGGGGAGGGAATGGAATAGAATCTAGGCATCTAGATTTTATTGAAATACTCAAAGATCTGACACAACTAGACATATAACCTACATAGCAAAAAAACTGAGTGCCTACTATTTGCCAGTCACTCATTAGCCTCTTGGGAAACTTAAATAAGAAATAGTTACTGTTTTCAAGAACTTCACATTTTAATATTAGAAGCAAGCATATAAATAAATCACTGCAATTTGCTATGATTTTACTATGTGCTGGCTACTATGTGATAGATAATAAAAACGATAACAGGATAAAATGGAGGCACAACGAAAAGGCCGAAAATCAATTCTGTTAATAGTAAAGAAGATGTCCGAGCGCAGTGGCTCACACTTGTAATCCCCACACTTTGGGAGGCTGAGGTGTGAGGATCGCTTGAGCCTAGGAGTTCAAGAACAGCCTGGGCAAAGGAGTGAGACTATATATCTATTAAAATAAAGAAAATAGTAAAGAAGACTTTGGGAAGACGTCATAAAAGTAGGCAGCACTCAAGCTATGTTTTTAAGAGTAAGTTTCTGCCAAGTGAACAAGGCAGGGAGAAGGACATTTCAGGCAGAGGCAGCAGCATGTTCAAGATTATAGGGTCACATACAGTAGGCACAGATGTAAGATAAGGCATCTGGTAGTTTGGAAAGAAACAATATGCCTTGAGAAGCCAACTGATGCCAGATCATGAAGCGCTCTTGTTTTCCATGCCAAGGAATACGGGTTTTATCCTTTACATCAGTGTTGTTCCCACAGTGTCCCTAAGAAGAATGCTCATGGTTCAGTCAACCCAGGTTCGAGGAGGAAAAAAAAAAGAAATATGGCAGAGGAACCACCCCCCACCCCAACAATTGCTGATTCAACCAGAGAGACTCTACTTTTGTCTATTTTACGTAGTAAAGTTCTATTTTAAAATCTCTTTGGGTACAAAAATTCAACTGTTACAAACAAACTTTATTAAAAAAAGAAAGCTTGAACAGGAGCCATTAAAAGATTTTTAGCAAAAAATTAAATGTTAAGATTAGCATTTTGGAAACATCTTTCTCTTAACAGTGCCAAGGATGGAATACAGAATATAAGACCCAAAGGACATGAAAACACTTAGCATTTAGTTGCAACAACTAATGTAATAAATAATTAATGAAATCTGATGAGGAGAGAGATTTAAATCTTACTGATAACTACTTTGTTCCAAGCAGCCTGCTCTATCCTAGGTTCAGGATAAAGAACCTAGTTATTTCAATAAATTATTTCAATAGTTATTTCAATAAAAAGTAATCATGACTGACAAAAACAGGAAGGTAAAGAAGAAAAAGTAATTAATCTTGGTAAATGACTTGAATAAACACATGGATAGGTATGGTTAAAACTTGGAATATAGTCATAACACTTCACCTTCAATAAGCTAAGCATAAACCAGGCCAGAAAAAATATATGTTTTAAGGAGGTATAATCTAGAAAAAACAAAGGGCTACGGTTGTGACTACACTTCACCAGCATGTGTCTCAGAGGATTTGCGCGAGGTATACAGAAAATCAGAACCATCCTTGAAAGCCATTATAAACAACAAAAGACCTTAACTATTAATATACTAAAGTGAATCTCAAAGGTTGCTACCTGAGGTTAAAGCTTGATACCTTTCCCTTGGAATTTTGAGATCCAGGTTCCCAAATGAAAGCATGGAATCAACGCAGACAAGAACAGAAAACAGTATTTAGGTCACTAGACCTATACAATTGCTAGTTAGCATACAGCCAACAAGTTTATCAATTCTCCATTACTCTTAAGGTAAGTATGTAATAAGTTGCACAATTCTACTCGTGGTGTTTAATTAACAATTTACGACAAGACTTTTGGAAGTTTAAAGTATTTATGTAGATAAATTTCCCAAGAATTAGAAGTATTCAGTGATATGAATTTCTAGGTTTTTCACTGGTTTTATAACATAAGTGCTTTCCCTGATAACGAAATTTTTAAAAGAGCAGGAGAGGGTAGAAGAGAATAGGGTAAAACTCTTATACTCCTCAAAGATGAATCCTGGCAGAGTGTGCTGGTGCATACCTGTAATCCCAGCACTTTGGGAGGCCTAGGTAGAAGAACTACTTGAGCCCAGGAGTTTTCAGACCAGCCTGGCCAACACAGTGAGACTTCATTTCTATACAAATTTAAAAACTCAGCCAGACATGAGGTGTGTGCCTGTAGTCCCAGCTACTCTGGAAGCTGAGGCAGGAGGATCACTTGGGCCCAGGAGTTTGAGGTTACAGTGAGTTGTGACTGCACTCTAGCCTGGGCAACAGAGCAACACCTTATCCCTCAATCATCCCCCTGCCTCAAAAATAATAATAATAAATTCATTTGTACTGCTATTTGTGAGACTTATTTCAATCTCTTTGATAAAGATTATAACTAACATTAAATACGCAAAATAAATTCTTAAATCCCTCAATGATGAATGAAAGAATTATTCAAAACATCCTCCTTATCAAACGAGCCTACGTACCTCACTAATTATATTAAACTAAGAAGCCCTACCCATTCATTTAAAATTAGACCAAATGCTAACTACTATTTACAAATAGCTTGCAGGAAGTTAAAAAACTCTCCTGCAACATGAGAAAGAGCTGGTTATAACTTTAAATATGTTGCCAAATCTTATCTATTAGAAAAGACACTCTGATGACAGGGGAGACTCTGTC